TTTAGACTACAGCTCATATAGCCAAGCCAGAAGAGGATGAACCCATCCTTGAGACGCTGAAGCTCCGCGAGGTCAAGAATTTTAAGGCGAGCGCCGCTGGGGTTCTAAAGGACCCTCTGATTTAGGGTCTGGGGTATAGGGCCTTCTTGGGCTTAAGGGTTCAGGGTCTAGGGTTTTAGGCTTTTAGGGTTGTAGGGTTTAGGGGCTTTGGGGGTTTAGGGGGTTTAGATTCAGGATGTCGGGTTTAGGATTAAAGGATTTTGGGGGTTAAGGGGTTTAGGTTCAGGATGTACGGTTTAGGATTTAAGGATTTTAGGGGTTTAGGGGGTTTGGGTTCGGGATGTAGGGTTTAGGATTTAAGGATTTTTGGGGTTTAGGGGTGGAAGTTCAGGATGTCGGGTTTAGGATTGAGGGATTAGGGTTTAGGGTTTAGATTAAGGATTAAGGTTTAGGGTTTCGGGATTACGGTTTTCGGGGTTGTGGATAGCAAAGGCCAAAAAGCTGGAATGTAGTCCATGTTGTCCCTCTTCTCAGGTCTTGGGGTAGGGGGATTCTGATGTTCCAACCCTGGACCCTACACTCTAAACCCTAAACCCTACCCCTAAACCCTAAACCGCGGGTAACCTTCGAGCTTCTATTATGGGGGTTTGGGATTGCAGGAGTCGTATGATCATGTCCACTAGTATGAGCCCTGTGCTCCTGAAAGTGTTTACTGTAGGGACCCAAATAACTGCCAATATTATTAGGTTTCGGTCTAGAGTTTAGGGTGTAGGGGGGTTTAGGGATATTAGCCCAGTAATGGAGAATCAAATGGAACAGAACAGTTCAAAACGACATGGACACTGGGGTTTCTATGGTTTGTGACTAGGAGGGATACCAATCACATGGTCTTAGATTCCCCGTACAATTATATTGTGGGTACCTTAAATAGACCTCAGAATGGTATTGGTAAATATTTAGGACTTAATAGTATGCAGCGGCTATCTTGGGTTTCATGTGGTGAGAGCCGGTGGATTTCCGAACAGCAACAATGTGAAAATTCATGTTGCTCGGTACTACTAGTTGCAATCCCAGTATCCATGTCAACCGTGCCGACGCGCGGGGCAGCCCGTTGTGGTGGCCTCGTTGCGTTTGGCCGCTTTCAGCCTGCTTTGAACCGTCCGGAGCCTAACGCAAGTGCAGCTTTGGAAAAAACTCCACAAGGCAACAAGTGGCTTGCCGCAGCAGTGGCCGGGTAGCAGTGATTTGATGCACCTGTTCTGTGGCCCAGGCCGAGATGTTATTTCCAAAAACTGAGATTAACAAGAAAATTCGAATAGAGTCCTGATCCCCCACACCCCATGCCTAGACTCTACACTCAAGCCCCAAAGCCCAGACCCAAATCTTGAAGTCTTCTTGATAGCAATGCTCCACTCGCCGAAATTGCGTCCGAAGACGGCCCCGCCGAGCGCAACTTGCCTGAACTTATTCAGTCCACGGTCTAGCCCTAAACTCTAAACTTTAAACCCTAAACCTATACCGTTTACGGTTGACATTTGTGGGTCGCTTCAGGGGTTGGGGTCTTGTAGGGATGTGAGAGCTAGGAGCATTGGTTGTCCTCTTGTTCAGGACTGTTGAGTAGAGCTTTTAGGATTTGGGGTTTGACCCTTAGGGCTCAGGCGACCCTAATCCCTAATTAGTCTCTTGATAACCTCCATATGGGTGGTTGTCAAAATTATGGTCCCTTTTTGGGTACTCTAAATATTAGGTGCCGTATTATAATAGGGTACCCAAAAAGGGACCATAATTTTGACAACCACCCATATATCCCTATTATTTACCCCCTATGTAATCCCTATTTTGGGCTCAGGTGATAAAAGCCTCTGACAGCCTACTACAGGGGTTCATAAGGGAGATAGTAGGAGTTTATGGTTTAGGGTTTAGGGTTTAGGGTTTAGGGCTTAGACTATACCTCACATGGAGACCCCCGCACAATTGAGGCCTCATTGGAAATTGTTTGTGACTACTGGAGCCTATCAGGGCGTAATAGGGCTTATCAAGCCTTACTTACTAGTTTGGCAAGGTGCATATTCGGAGGCCCATGGTAATCCTGCCAATGAAGATACCCAGGTGAACACGCACACGAACCTTGGCTGATTTCAAAACAGTTGATGCGTAAAAAAGAGGGGATGCATTTTTAGCGAGGTATGTTGATGCTGAGAATTCTGCATGGTCTTGGTATACAGTAGTACCATGTTGCCCGAGGCATTCACAACTTAGGGTCATGCAGGATTTTCAGTATCCACCCTATAACGCCCCTAAATTTTTCAGTGCTGCAGCCAGATTGCGTTTGCGCAGGGTTGTATACATGCTTGCGCGCTGGCGACAACCCCCACACCCTTCCCCGCTGTGGTTGGGCCTGGGTGTGATAATAAATGAGAGAATATCCCACCCTAAACCCTAAACCCTAAACCAAAACCTGGATAAACCGAGTATTCGGATAAGTTGCAGGCGGCGTAGTGAGTGCACTGGTGGATTTTGGACTTAGGCTTTCTGAGCTTTGTCCTTGTATGTGATTCCTCATGAAGTGGATCCTATTGATGTGGGTGGGACTTTCATAAACCCAAAGCCGGAAACATACCCAGCTTGGCATTTGCCTTCAATAAAGAATGCCATGAAAGGTTCCGGGACCGTCAGAAGGCCAAAGAGAAGCTGATATCTGCTCGGGAGTTTGGTGTGCACTACGAGACGGTGCTTCGGCGAAGTCTACCTGTTTAACACAACCGTGGAGGGAGTTGCAGGGATTTGTCAGTTGTTAGGGTTAGAGGCTTGCGGGGACCCATTCTTTAATTCGCTGCTGGAGTTTGGTGCTGGTGTCAGTAGGTTTTGCTGTTTGTGTTTGTCTTGGAGGATTGGGGTACAGGTTTTTACACATAGCATAGGTTTTCAGGACGTCCGAAGAGCCTAAGTCTATTTGAAGGGCCTTGCTTGAAACTTTAGTGTTGAGTTGAACCAGTTGTGTACTGAATGCAAGAACCGCTACCCGTGACCCCAGCCAGCCTCTATCCTTAGAAGATCTTCGAAGCCTCCCTCAAACTCTGAAACGCGAAGCCTGAACAACCCGAACCCCTTAATTACAACCTTAAAGCCCGAAACCCAAGGCCTCACACCCTAAACCCTATACCCTTAAGACTCTACTTAAGACCCAAACCCTCGGTGCAGCCCAGGAGAAGGACCGCATTAAGCGAGCAGAAGCTGAACAGCAGTTTCTGCGCCTTCCACGAGAGGCTTCGTAGGGCTCCACGCGACGGGGTATATCGGGATTATCTAGGGGATTATGAAGGGTTCAGGCATATCAGCTCAAGAATGGAAATTCAAACGGAAAAGAAATTCAAAGAAATGGAATGTGAGTTTGAAACTGGGTTTAGATAGTTGTTGATAAGGTTTACCCCTGTCCAGCAGGACTCTGGAGATGTAAGGGTCCTCTTGAGAAAATTCCGTTTGGGAGGGGTTGCGTTGCTTAGGGGTTCAGGTTTAGGTCTGCAGATGTCAAGTAGAAGCTAGAAAAGTGCACAGTATAGTTTTGAGGTTCATTTCAGGCACCATGTTCCACAGCTAGACAAGGAATCCAGGATCCGGATTTTGGTAATCACCTAGCCTGCTATACGAAGGTTGGGTTTGAGTTCAGCTTGCAGGGGTCTGCGTTCAGGAAGCTTATGGGCAAGGAGATGAAGCGCACAATGGCATATCGCAAGACCGTAGTACCGAAGCCGAAGCCCTAAACCCTGAACAGAAATAGGTTTGAGAATCGTTTTCCATGTTTCATTACGCTAATCCCGAAATAATCCTGACAGGGCCCATAAGAATCCAATTTCTGTAGGGCCCCACAACCTGCTCTAGTCTACCCTAAGCCCTATATAGTGCCCTACCCCAAACCCTATAGCTCCAGGCCCAAACACTATAATTGACTAGAATTGGCCCCAAATCCGCCACCCCGAAATCTCTAAATCCCTGAACCATACCCGTTAAACCCTGAACCCCAAACCCTTAACCCCGAACCCGAAGCCGTAAACCTCCCAAGCCCCGATCCCTAAGCCTGAAGGCTTGGGCCCCCGGCCAATGCGCGCCCCCACACCTGACGCCGCGAGATGCGCGGAGCAATACTGCTCTCCGCACCCGCGACTGGGTTGCGAATTCAAGTTGCCATATCATGGTTTTTAATAATAGGGCTTCCTTACTATGGTAACCCTAACCTTTTTTGCTACCCTATATACGTTATTTTCCCTATATAGCCTATATACCCTTATAATGATATTATGGTAACCCTATTTCCCCTATATATCCTATATACCCTGTGTACCCTTAGTATGGTAACTTAATATAAGTTCCTTAACAGCAACCCAGGCGATACCAAGCCGAAGCTGGCGGATCTTTGGCTGAAAGATGGGTTTAAAGAAAGGGAGAGTCTAGGGTTTATTAGGGCTACATTGGGATAATGGAAAAGAAAGTGGAAACTACTCTAGTATATTTGTAGGGCTATATTGGGATAATGGAAAAGAACATGGAAACTACTCTAGTACATTGGGGTTACATCGGGATAATGGAAAAGAACATGGAAGCTGCTCTAGTATACTTGGGAAATTGGAAACTGAGGTTCAAAGGGTTTTAGTTGACGGGTTCAGGGGCTTAATCTCGACATCTGCAGAGTAACTTAAACTATGAGGAGTCCACCTGTAGGATTACATAGGGATTGCGTTGATAAACTCCCATGAGCGGCCCCTTTTAAAAAGATCGTGGTTTACAAACGGCCCCGTTCCATGGTTCCGTGTTTGATGAGTGCAGCATAGAGAGATTATCATCTCGTCAGGATTGGGATCAGGTAGCGCTTAGAGAGGAGTCCATTAGCCCTGAACCCTAAACCCTAACCAGGCTCCCTCTTCATTGTGTCCGAAGCATGTGGTAAAATCAAACTGGTGCCAGTGCCTTGTGTGCCTTTACTCAAACAGAGGGGTTACTCCGGGCTAGCAGAAACAAAGCGATGCACTTTTCCTAGGACACCATTGGCGAGCTCATTGTCAGTGACATCCGCATGCCTTATGCCTCCGGATACCCAGAAGCTGGGTTTTGTTTGGGGTTTGGGGCAAGGGCTGCTCGTTTTTTGTTGGGCTTATAGGCCATGGATCATTGCTGATAATGTTGGGTGGAGTAGTACCATAAAACCAGGAACATCATCTCACAATTTCTGATATGACCCCAATCTTTCCGGTGGCTGGTAGGGAATATTGGAATAGAGTCCCTATATAATCCATATATAGTATACTCCTTCATTCCCTACTAACCTCCTAAACCCTAAACCCTAATCCCTAGACCCCTAAACCCAAAACCCTTAACCCTAATCCCAGTACGCAACAAAAAGACATGAAAAAAGTTAAGGAGTGTCGGGCAAAGCAGCCCAAGCCGGGTCCCGGACAGACGCTGCGATCTTGCTTAGGAAGCTTTTTGCCGCGGGAAGTCAAGTTGGAGGGTTCCGAGAATTAAATTCTAAAATTACCTTTTGGGCTTTTTGCTACGGGGAGTCAAGTTGGAGGTTTCCCATTTTTTTAAAAAATTCCCTTTTGGGCTTGACAGGTTCCAGTAAGTCTAGTTGGGAGGTAGGTACCCAAAATCGGTTTTTGTTCCATTTTAGTGCCTTGTTTTGAGAAGGATGTGAATATTGGGATCTGTTATAGGGATCCCCTGTTCTTCGAACTGTCGATTATGCATGTGGGTACTTGTTTCTGTCGGTTTAGCCTTAAATCTAAGCCCTAGGCAAATAGTGTAAGCTCAAGAACTGAAGGTATGACGCGCCAGGGCTTACTTTTCAATGTAATTCCAAGGAGACATGGGGTTTAGGGTTTAGGCTT